GACTTTTTATTTCTGTTAATATATGTTTTGTATAGCTGGGTGCTCCCAAAATTGGTGCATATATGTATTTAGGATTCTTATCTCTTCCTCTTGAAGTTTTTCCCTAACTAGTATGTCCTGACCTTCTTTATCCTTTGGATCATTCTTGGTTTGAAGTTTACATTATATGCTAGCAGAATAGCTACCCCTATTTTTTTTTTTTTTTGGATCCTGTTTCATGGAATATTGTTTTACATCCTTTGACTTTCAGTCTATGAGCTTCCTTTTGGGTTAGATGGACTTCCTGAGTGCAGCGTATGATTGGATGTTGTTTCTTGATCCATTCTGCCACTCTGTTTCTTTTAATTGGTGAATTGAGACTATTTACATTAATGATTATAACTGATATATATCGGTATACTTTTGACATGTTATCTTTCTGCTGTTGGTTCTTTACCTTTCCACTCTGTTTAATGGTTTGCCTTGCTTATGGTTTTTTCCTATGTCTTTCAGTATTCTTTGCAGGGTTAGTTTTGTGATCATGAAATTCTTTAGCTGTTCTTTGTTGTGGAAATATCTTAGTTCTCCACTGATTTTGAAGGACAGTTTTTCAGGGTACAGCAGTCTGGGTTGGAAATCATTTTCCTTTAAGATCTGAAATACTTCACTCCATGCTCTTCTTGACTTCATTGTTTGTGTTGAGAAGTCTGCTGTGATTCTGATAGTTTTTTCTTTATAGATGATCTGTCTTTTTTCTCTGACAGCTTTTAATACTCTGTTCTTATGTTGGATTTCTAGGATGTCGATTATTATGTGTCTGGGCATAGCTTTATTTTGGTTATGGTTATTTGGAGTTCTAGGTGGTTTACTGATCGTATGTCAGTTTTTATTCTCATGTTTGGGAAATTATGTCTTCTTTAGATGTGTTCAGCATTTCTTTCATTACATGTATCATTTCTTCTTCTACCTGGGAGACTATTTCTGATTTGAGTTCTTTTATAGCTTCCCAGAGTTGTTTCTTTACTTCATTTGATATCATTTCAGGCATTTCTGGTGTATGGCTTATATTTTCTTGTTTCCATGTCTCTTAGGCTTACTTGGGTTGGGCTGGAAGTTTGAGATTGCAGTTTGCTCTTTTGTTTTATCATTTACCTATATTTCTGGGTTTTAAGCAATGTTTTAAGGCTTTGTGCTGAGAATCACCTGGCCCACTTTTGGCTCCCAAGGCAGACAGCAGGCACACGTAGCTGCTTGGAGTTCAATGGGTATGTGCCAGTTAGGCCCGCTTGGACCTCCTGTGTATCCTTGATGATTTTAGATATGGAGAATGGTCTTACTGCCTGTAGCAAAATTCCAAGGCTTCCCTGTGTGCTGGGTTTCAAACCCACCCCCTTCCCACCCTCCATGTTCTGGAACTGGACTCCAGACCCCTGCCAGCTGCTTGGAGTTCACTGGGTGTGGTCCAGTTAGGCCTGCTTTGACCTTCCGCATGTTCTGGGTGATTTCAGATTGGGGGCCTGGTCTTACCACTGGGAGCAAAGTTCAGAGGCTTCCCTGTGTGCTGGGTTTCAACCTGCACATGCTCTGGTCCTGGACTCACTTAGGGCCCCTGCCAGATGCAGGAGCATAGTTTGTAATGATTAAATCTTGGAAATTACCTTGATGCCCATAAGTCAGTGAATAGTTAAGAAGATGTGAATTTTTGTATAATGGAGTTTTCATTGATAAAGAAGGATAATCTTGAGATATTTGTTGGTAAATGGTTGGACTCTGAGATCACGCTCTTCATTGAGGTAATTTCAACATTTCTGTGTAATATTGTGTTGTCTCTCTGTCATGAGAAACTGAAAGAGCAAATAAGGGCCAAATGTGTGGCAGATATTGTGAAATCAGAAAAAAATGGTTCAAATGGGAAGGAGGGCCAAGGAGAGGGAAGGGAAAGAAAAACATGAGGGATGAAGGATAAAATGGAAACAAAGCTTTTGTAAATAAGTAGGAAAGGAGGTTTTAAAGGGAGGGAAGGAAAATAAAGAGGATCCCTGTGTATCATGTATAGGTACAAATTAGCTATGATGAATATGATGATCATGTGTATTTAAATTGTACTAATAAATTTAATTTTTAAAAAAAGTTTGTGCTTAGTTAGCCAAGTAGAGGGTGTTTTTTTGTTTGTTTGTTTGTTTGTTTTTTGCAGACCCAAAGACAAAAAGAAGTAAAAAAAAAATGCAGAACAAAAAAAAAAGGAAAAGAAGCCACCCAAAAAGACTCTGTGTTTCTTGAAATTGTCTCCTTAGTGAGGTATATTGACACTTTGGAGGTAGTTGATATATCTTGGTCTTCCTTTCCTCTTTCGTGGAGCTTTCCAATTAGTAGAAGTGAAATTTTATAGTCCTAATTCTTCATTGAACACAAGTCTTTTTGAAAGTATAAGCTGGCTTTCCTAACAAGTTTCCTAACAGAAAGTTTGGCAGAACTGTAGATTGAGCCAGAGGAGCTCCACCACTGAGCTGCACCCTCAGTCAGCCCTTTTATTTTTGAGGGACAGTCTTATTAAAAATGCCCAGGCGATCCTCAAAATTTCCTTTTTTCCATTTTAGATTCCCAAATAGCCTGTCTTAAAGTTGTGGGCTATATCAGAACTTGAAAGAGTATGGCCACATACTGTGTTTCAATCCTTTTAGCCCCAGTATACATTTTGAAAGTTTTAATCTCTGCAGGTTCTCTCTCCATATTCTTTCATGCTTTGGTTGCCATGCCTTTAATGGCTATAAGCTTTTGTTTATTTTCTCACATTTTTTCCCTGTTTCCATGATATGGAATTTGAAACTATTTACCTTTTATTTTTCTCTTTTTAATTGCACTCATGCTACATGCTGTTTTGGTTATTTACAATTTTCCTTCCTCATACTTAAGTTTGAAATGAATTTTTTATAAAAGTTACATAATACATCTGAGTTTTAAATTTATTGTTAAAATCTTTTAATTGTATAAGTGTATTTATTGATATTTTTAAAGTATATTACGCGTTACACTTAAAGTAATTATTGACATTTGTTTTAAATTCTGAAAATTAACTCAAGTAATTTATTTGAGTGAGTTTATTATTACAATTTAGATATACAATGATTACATTCATCGTAGGAATTTTGTCCCTGTATGTAATATACCTTGATTTGTCCTTTTCCCTCCTCTCCTTTTATACCTTTGTCCCCTTCTTATTTCAAATTTGTTTCCAGTTTATCTTTCTTTTGTTTATTTTTCACTTTCCTTTTCATCTCCACCCTCCTTAGTTCATCTTTCCTTTCTAACAGTTTCTTCTCATTTCTCCATATTTCTTGTACAGTTTTGTTCTTATTTATATTTTCAGTTTTGCCCACCAGGGAGTATGTGAGACATCGGGATATTTACATGTGTCTGATTTATTTCACTGAACAGTATAGTCTAATGGTCCATCTATTTAGCAATAAATGTCTCAGTTTTTTCCTTCTTCTTGGCCAAGAGGTACTGCACTATGATCAAAAGAAAATCCGCATCTTCTGTATACTTTCCCTGGTTGATGGACATTTGGGCTGCATCCAAGATTTAGCTATTACGAACTGTTTTTGTAAAGATTGGTATGCACATATTGCTGTGTTTTGGTGTAATGCTTTAAATTCTTTTGCAAAAACACCAACAAGGGGCTTATCTAGGTCAAATGGGACCTCTAGTTCTAGTTTTTGACATTAGGACCTCTATTTGAATTTTTAACTTAAACCTCTTCTGTCTCATATCTCTTTGGTATCTTCCATTCGCTTATTTGACTGTTTAAAAGAATTCTGAATGGACCTACTGCTTTTACATTTGAATAGATTTTTGTAACCTCCCTTCATATTATCCAGTGGCCATGAAATTTCCTCTTGTAAGTTTTAATGATAAAATATTATTTATGTACATGTAAACTTAATTTCATAATCTGAGGCTTTTCCTTTTACACAGAGAATATATTTGTTAAGGATCGATCTATCTATCGATCAATTTATCTATCTAGCCATCTAGTCTATGCATATCCTTATATAGATGAAAATCATAAATATAAAGGCAGTGCTTTGTTAACTTGCCTGGGGTGGGGATATGTGTGAGACAGATGAAAAATGGTATTGTCTGTTCCTCTACTTGTTTCCTTATTCAGGATGGTTTTGTTTTTTACTCAGGTATTCATTATTATTTTTTTTTTTTTGTTAGTCTTTTTACTCTCTGTTTCAGTCCTTTTAGCCCGTTTGTACTGCACCATTTTAATCATGTTGATGTGTATGGCTAATTCTTGAAGTAACACTTTTTTCTTCTTTTTGCTCTTAAAATGTGTAAGTTGCTTAAGGAACTGAGATTATACTTACTTGATTTGTTAGTTTTTCCTTTTTGGAGGGGTTCCCTAATTTTATGATCAGAACAACAATGTTAGTTCTCAAAGCATGTTTTAAGGAAAAGCTGTACACAAATAGATTCCTTTAAAAAGTATTCTTTAACCTTAAATATTTTATAAACATTGCTACATTCTATCAATGAAAAAACTTAATGTTTTTAATGACATGTACACTTAAAAATATTTTGCAAGAATGTTTTCTAGAACAGAAAGTATGTATTTTAAAATTTGAGTTTTGACTACTCTGTGATTCATAGACTTAGTGACACATGCTTTATTGCTTAATAACCCTCTACTTGCAAAAGTGTTTCTAGGCTAATAATGCATTTTCAAGCAGTGTAATCTAGAGGTGACTGAAAGCATAGAAGTGGCCATGAGAAAATACTGCCATTAAATATAAAAAGTGGAGCATCTTCAGTTTTAGTTATGGGGTGGGTGACTGTTTTCACCCGTGTTGGTGTGGAAGAGTGATTGTATATTTCTCTAGTTTTCATACCACTTCTTTATTAGTAAGTTAGATTTTTAGTATATATGTATTGTTTATAATCAGGGATGTCTCTACTTAAATAGTCACCATTTTATTTTCTGTTTTCTCTTAAATATTTTTTCCTCTGTTCTTTAGAGGAAGCATCATGCTGCCAAAGAAGCCTATGAACAGCTTTTACAGACAGAAAATCTTCCTGCACAAGTAAAAGCAGCTGTATTGCAACAGTTAGGTACATAAAGACTTAATTTTTATTTTGTATTACATTGACTCTGAGAGGTTCTGTCTTAGGATCCAGTTTCTAGTTAAAACTTTATTTTCATTTGGAAATCTGTGTTTTGGATTAAATCTCATGATTTTGAGATTCAACTTAAAATGACTATTTTTTTTAGTAAGTCATATTAGTTTTTCTTTGGTTTTCAAATGTTTTCCCACATTTTATTTATTTATCCTCGATCTTGTCATCCACCTACTCACAGTATTTCAGACATGCTTGGTCTTTTATATTCTCAATGCTATCCGCTAACACTGGACTGGTGTGTATTATATTTCTCAATAAATTGAATGAAGGTCATTCACTTGGCTTAGTAAATACTGAACTTCTTATTTCATAGTTTTCTTGATAGCATGTTTAATGGAGGTGTTTCTTCTAAAATTTGTAGAATAGCTCCTTCTCCAAGAAATTTTTTTTTCTCCAAAAGATTTGTTATATTTTCTTAATGAGGATGAAATAAACAATGTACATAATAATACAAAGTAAAATGTTTGTTTCTCCCGTTAACTTAGCTAAGGTTTCTCTGTCTTTTCTTTATTTGTTATTTGGGAATAGTTTGTTTGGCTTTCTCTTTCATTATATTTGGTCTGAAGAATCCCTAAGATTTCATTGAACTTGCGTGTAATTTGACTGTCTTGTGGGTGTAACTAATATGTCTGTGTCCATAAGGCAGAGTTTTGCGTAGGTGAATATTTTTGTAAAGGAAATTGTTTTTTCACATTTCAGTTGAATTACTAATGAAGTGCCTTTTCTTATCTTCCCTTTGTCTATACATAGTTTTAAATTATTCAACATGCACTGCGGTACACGCCCTACCATTTTTCTGGCTATTTGAACTCACTCTTCACCGAACTCTTTCATAGGGAGCCTTGGAATTCCATTTTGTTGTCCCATTAAATGCTGTTTTTTACTTTTAGGATATTTGTGTAAGCCATGACTGTGAGGAAGATGCTTGGACTTTGTGTGAGATTTTTAGTTTAATTGAAATGAATTGCTTTGATTATATAAACCTTTCCTTTAACTTAAAATATTTGCATTAATAGATTGTTTAAAAAATTCTTCCAGTGTATGATGACTTTAAAGGAAAAACAAAATGTGTCATTATGTATGAATATTTTTCAAAACTATGTTAGAAACAGAATTTATAGTTTTAAGTGGTGAGTTAGTTCAGTGCCTCAAGTCAATTAAAGATTTCCTCTCTTAAAAATCTACAGTTTTAACTGTATATTTTTATCATGAGGTGGACTTTCTTACAGCTACCTGTGGCAGTTTTCAGTTTAGATAATTGTGATGCTAGTAACAAAATAAATTACTGAAACAGTATTTGATTTACTCCAGCATGGTATTCCTGACACCAGCAGGGTAGTTGGATGAGTAAATACTTATAATATTTTTAAATTATAGGTTGGATGCATCATACTGAGGACTTAGTAGAAGACAAAGCAATCAAGGAAAGCTGTGCTATTCAGTATCTCCAGAAATCACTGGAGATGGACCCTAATTCTGGCCAGTCTTGGTATTTCCTGGGAAGGTGAGACTGGGTGGTTGGATTTCCTAGAGCTGATGTACGTTTTACACCATACAGTGACTTTTTATGTTAAAATATAACAGCGGTTTCAGGGAGGTAAAAGCAGATAACTTTGGAGTGGATCCTGAGATATTTTTACTTCACTACTTTAATTTTCGAGATATCTTAATCTGACTTGAATTACTGTTAATTATTGGAGAATCCTTAAAAAGATTTGAAGACTTTTATTTGCTAGCAGTGGTTGGTAAATTTTAGTTCACTGTTTAAATTGTGTTCTGATTTCAGAGGGGTTTGTTTGCATATTTACTTAACAGAACATAAAGTACCCTTATATTTTATACGATAACTAGCTCATCATCCTTGGAAACTTGATAATTTATAATATTGCCTGATGATTTTGTATATTAATGAGGAAATGTCATATTGGTCATATATCTTAGATTTCAGCTCTACATGAAATCTTAAGTTGGGGATATAAAAAAATCATTACTGAGTTGTAAACTGTGTCAGGTCAGGGCCCCAAAGCAATTTCTTTGCTTTTCTTTAAAATTTTGTGTAGTCTGGCTGTGTATCTTTTTAGGGTGAGACGTATTTTCTTGCAGCTGTGGTTGGCAGATTTCACTTTGGAAAAGACATGGATGTAGGAAGCAGAAATGAAACATAGGAAGTTTCTGTAACATAGGAATTTTTTCCTGTGTATGCTTACTCTGAGTATTGATTTTGAAATATGCTGACTGGATAGATCCTGATGAATTTATATGTTTGGCCACATACATATGTTGCTTGTAATTATCACACTATATTTTAGTGCGGTGCAAAAATCAAGACCGAAAGCTAAGAAACTGGTAATTTTCCGGGCTTTGCTACTGACAATCTGTGGATTCACTCATAACACAATCAATTGCTTAAGGTCTCAATTTTCATTAAATAGTGAGATAATGGATTAGATTTAGTACATAACTTCCTTCAAGATTACATTCTTAATTTTCCTGACTTGTTTGTTTTTCAGTAGTGGAAACTGAACCCAAGGCCTTTGAAAGGCACGCTAGGGAAGCACTGTAAACTGAGCTATGGATCCATTTCTCCCAGTTGATTTTAATTGTACATTTTGTCCCATTTACATTTCTGTAAGGTAATCTATTCTAAATGTTTGCCATGCAGTTACATTTAAACTTAGTTTCTTTCTTTCTTTCTTTCTTTTTTTTTTTTTTCTTTTTCTTTTTTATCGATACCTGGGGATTGAACTCCCGACCGCCTGTTTGCAAGGCAGGTGCTTATGCCACTGAGCTAAATTCACAGCCCCTCAAACTTAGTTTCTTTATTAAGTTTAACTTTTATACTATGCGTATTTTTCCTTTAAATTTAGTAAGACATTTCCCTGAGAGGGTGACTAATCTTGGGTGAGTTTTTTCCTTAAACAATATTTGATTATCTGTTAATATACAGTAAAGATGCTTGGGAACTCAATTATATATTGCAGAATTTTTCTCATATGCCTCTGTGCTTATTAAACAATCTGATTAACATGTTTGATGTAGAATTTAAGATTCTAAACTTTATCTTTCTTTGGCATTAAAAGCTTTCAGGCAAAGTTAAATAAATAAATAAATATTGTCTTAGCGTTTTTACTGACCAGGAAAGTGCTTCAAGTAAGTTGTCTGTGTAGCAAAGTAAAGACATGAAGTAGACCTTTGAGCTACTATTGCTGCTGTTAACACAGCTTTTGCATAATGTAGATAGAATGACTGTGAAAAAGAACATTTTACTAGAAAAGGGAATGTATAGACAGTGGCCCCTGAAGTTATTTTTGTTTCTGAACACTCCTTTATTTCCACCAAAATTGCTTTCAACCCAAGAATCCAGATTTCTGCCCTACTACTTGTAACATTCATGATGTATGTAAAAGATTGTTTTTACTGTTTAATCACAGCAGTTAGTGAAAATGTTAAAAAAAAGGTAATAAGAACGGTGGGAGTAATAAAGCCCATAATGTGTAATTGTTATTGTAAAAAAGAGAGGAAAAGAAAGTGCTCTAAAGGATATAACTGCAAGTGTGTTAAGGTGTGTAAGATAGATGACCATATTACTAAGTTTTTGTTGGATCATTGAACACAGCTGTTTTCAGTCGCACTGTTTGAATGTCCACTTTGTATGCTTTAATTTTGTAACTTGAACAACTATTTCTAAGATAACAGTATGTAATCTATTAACTATGATTTCTTACTGTTTATTTTTTTTGAAATTCTGTATTACTTTTACCCTTTTACTGTTTTTTTTTCTTTCTTTAAATAAAATTTTAAAAAAAGATAAGAAAATGTTAAAAGGAAGCATTTAAAATTTACAATTTCAGTCATTCCACATTTTTTGTGAGTGAGGATAGCCATATATATTCTTAGAAGACTTTTCCTCTTTCATGTCACTTTAAAGCATTGAGATGTGTTTTATTTTTCACTCTTTTGGATGAAGGTTTCAAAGGTACAGGTCACTTTACCACCTTCTCTATTAGAAGGTATCAGAATGTTTCTAGTAAGGATAATCATACTAGAAATTACCTTTCTGTAATCTGTTCTTAAAACATTTACTGTTACTTATTCTTACCCACACCCTTCAATTTCATTTCTTGTAATGGCTTTGTCACAGAGGAAAAAAGACATGTTTGTGGAAATTTAAACATTGCAAAAAGCAATTAAAGCTGCAGGTGAGCACCTCAGGTGTTACCAAGGAACACTGGGATTTGGTGGCAGCAGTATTTTAGAGATATTTTTTGTCCTTGATCAGTATGCTGTTCAGTGCTCAGGTAGCTTACTGATTGAGATGCATATACCAACATGAAGTAGACCTCACGTAATTTACTGACACTGATGATTGATACAGAAACATATTATATTAGCTTTGGGTAGGTCATGCCACTTGCCTTTTCAAAAATATGGCAGGCTGATTGTAGACTGTATTAAAGTTTTCAATTAGTAGACCCATACATGTTTACACATACAGGAGATGCTTTCCATATGAAATGCTTCTCAGCCTATAAGAGATGGCTTCCCCTTTGTCTTCTGTGTTAATCTTTCTTCTCCTAGGCATTTACAATACACAAAGTAGAAATTTGTCGTTGAGTAAGTGTGGCAGCCAACTCAGGGAACGTCTGTCATTAGAATAAGAAAAACACTTGCTATTTTTGTACCAATGTTATAAGTGAAATATTACCAGTAAATTACTTTTCAAAACACAGAAACCAGAAATAGAGTGGCAGAGAGGCAGAAGGAGAATTCTGTGCTGTAAGAATATAAATTTGTAAACAGCGAAGAACATGCTCGTAGTGATACATTAATTTTTTTCCTTTACAAACAGGTAACACACATGACAAATAGTGATTCTAAATATTATTAGATAGGAAAGGAAAATTGAATTCATTACAAAAGTTTTTATCAACAGGTAATATACTCTTCGTACAAATTCTATATCTTAATGATGCAGGAAGCCTAAGGTCAAACTATGTAAGTAGTATATTCAACCTCCAATATTACCGGACTGAGGAAATTTTGGACTACAACTCAGGTAGTATTGAGCACTACAACATGGTCTATCATTTACAAGCTTTAACAGCAAGGCACTGTGGGCTTACCATCTATCTCCCGAAATTTATTTTCACTTGAGCTATTTTTCAGGGTACAATTTTTTAACATTAATTTTAATATTTTAATATTTGTCTTCCTATAATATTTAAAATTTATTACATGTAAATGTAGACATAATGTGATACATAGCGCGTATCATATGTCGGTAGTGTAGTGTTTTAATTGCTGAATAGGCTCACTGAAGAACTTACTGGGCAGTAATGTAAAGTGCATCAATTTTTGACAAGTTGTTCTTTATACAAATTTAGATATATATGTAATGTATGTCACAGTAGCAGGTTGATTAGTCCCCCTATTCCTTTGAATATTGTGTTCTTTTTGGCAAATAATTAAGGTTATTGATGCGATTTTATTTAGACATACAGTACATACAGATTTTTTTCTCTTTTAGGTGTTATTCGAGTATTGGAAAAGTTCAGGATGCCTTTATATCTTACAGGCAGTCTATTGATAAATCAGAAGCAAGTGCAGATACATGGTGTTCAATAGGGTAAGCTTTTACATATAGATAAATGTATAAATATATAGAAATGTATAAGTATAAATGTAGGTAGATATACCGTGTTATTTTATTTGATGCAAAGGGTGATTGAAAGACATACTTACAGTGACATTATAAGACACATCAATTTTTGAAAAATTATTCATTATCTTCCCAGTGTACTCTACCAGCAGCAGAATCAGCCCATGGATGCTTTGCAGGCTTATATTTGTGCTGTACAATTGGACCACGGGCATGTGGCAGCCTGGATGGACTTGGGCACTCTGTATGAATCCTGCAATCAACCTCAGGATGCCATTAAATGCTATTTGAATGCAACTAGAAGCAAAGATTGTAGTAACACATCTACACTTGCAGCAAGAATTAAGTTTTTACAGGTAATATTTTGAATAGCATATTTTAAAAGATACAGATTTCCCTGTAGTGACAGGAAAAGGAAAACTATGATTTAATGTTAGTTCCATATTTTGCAATAGTATTTTGTTTTTTATTTAAAGTAAGGTGTGTTCTTTTATACATGTACACATGGTGTTTAACTTACCTGTTCAACATTCATACACCTGAGCATTTTTCATGTTCTGCTTACACTATTTTTATTTTAAAACAAAAATGAACTAAACTGACGATACAGAATTTCAAAACAAAATACTAGGAGATTAACAATGGTTAATATATTGCATATTTTTATCTTTAAAGTAGTTGCTCAGATTACAAGATATAGGCATGAAAAAATTATGTGGAAGGTTCATTCAAAGAATGAACACACATTTTGATGAACATTAGTAGTATAATTATCTATCATGTATATACATGTATACGTGCTTACTGAAAGCGTATATATGTATACATGTATACACGTATATATACGCTCTCCTTTCCATACTTCATTTTTTTGTTTTCTGCATTCCAGTTCTTCTTTCCTTTTGGGCAGTTTCTGCCCTTTTCATGTTCACAATATCTGTTGTACATTTTGGATGTTATTTCCTCTTTCAGTTTTTTACACTAGGGAGACAATACAATGTTTACACTTTAAAGGTGTCACCACATTTTAAAGAATGCAAACACTGCTTTTTGCTTGTGCATAAAATTTTCAAAATGACTGAAAATCAGAGCTTCATTCTGGTTCTCACCGGTGTATTCCAGTTGCCTTTTTTATATGTAGTGTCTATCTAAATCCCCAAAATTACAATTATATGTTTGTAAAAATATAAATACTTGTCACATTTGAGGAAGCCTTAGTGGACTTGATCATACTCAAATAGGCTTGTGTTAAATTTGTTTTTTACATAATTTTTCCTAGGCTCAGTTGTGTAACCTTCCACAAAGTAGTCTCCAGAATAAAACTAAATTACTTCCTAGTATTGAGGAGGCATGGAGCCTACCAATACCCGCAGAGCTTACCTCCAGGCAGGGTGCCATGAACACAGCACAGCAGGTGAGAAGTTGGGTTATCTCCCATAGCTGCCCAGCTTTAAGGGGTTCTTTCCAATTTACAGTAATCGAAGTTCCTTAAATAAATGTAACACTGGCTTTTAAACATGCTAAGCTCCTTTTAATTTAAAAATAAAAATCATTTTTAAAGGGATTTTAAATCAAATAAAACTCCCTTGCATATAGTAAGGAACATGGTGTACAGGATTAGAGCCTTTGTGTATTCGTACAATTTGAAAGAGATTTAAGGGGATATTCTGCAGTACTGTATTGAATTAAAATCATGTTTTCTTTCCTAAAACAGGTAAACATTTTCCATTGATGATTCATTTAATTTTGATTTTCAGTATTTGAATTTGATAATATTCACATAACTTTGAATACTAACCATTTTACAACATTTTATAATTTTAGGAATTTTACATTTATAATTTTAGGGAATAAACTAAAAACTGTATGCAGTGGTGTGTGTGTGTGTGTGTGTGTGTGTGTATACATGTATATGTGTGTGTATGTGTGTTTTACTTCTGTGATCCTTAGACTCATAAAGCTAATGATTCAAATACTGAATCTTTATTAGACCTCAGCTAAACACTAAATTCACACTAGTCCTTGTCACTACACTTGGTTTCTTCTAGCCAAGTAGAAGGCCCCTGCCTGCTTGTGCCAAGAGGAAAAGAGCACCTAGTTTAACAAAGGTACAGTATCTGTATACACGCACACATACGTGCGTGCGCACACACACACACACACACACACACACACACAGACAAGTCACAATAAAAGTGAAAAACCAACTCTTCTGAAACTGTACTTGTCTTAGTAGTTTAAGCTTGTAGATATCAAAAAATTAAGCAATATCTCTTTCTCATAATCTTTGCATCTTATTACATCTAGAGTGCAGGAAAAAGTTAATGTTCACTAGTCATCTCATTCTTTCTTTTTGGTGCATGTGCAATTTTGATAGTCTTGCCAACCTTCTATTGAAGTAAATTGAGCACTGGATATAATAATGGACAGTCTTTCTAGTTCTTTGAGACATGATGTAGATATTGCCCTTTTCTTCTAAATTAATGGATTTGTAAACTGATTATGTGTTTTAAATTATTTTAAAGGATTAAAAGCACTTTGTATGTGTATGTCAATATTCCAGTTTCTACTTATTTAGTGTCTCCATAGTCATAGCTGTTAGTGTATAAATTTAACCAAAATTCCTGCTTTTCTTTAATAACTTGTTCTCAGAACGGTTCTGAAAAGTGGGATAGTGGCCAGATTGCTTCACATCATCCAGTACAGCAACAAGTTCATTCATGGTGTTTGACACCACAGAAATTACAGGTATGACACATCCTGTTGACATATTATCTTATAATTTCAAAGCAGAACTAGTGAGGGTTAAGCGTTTTAGGTGTTAAATCTCCTCTTCTCTTCTGTTCTCTTCTCCTCTTCTGTTCTCTGTCCTCTCCACACACCCCCCACCCAAGGATCAAACCTAGGCCTTTATGCAAGCAACTCTGTGGCCTTTCACTGAGCCTTCTCCCTAGCCCAGCTATTAAGCCTTGAAACTGAATGACAGTCTACTACTACATTTACAATTAAAGTGAGCTTAAATTTACCAGAGGAGTAATAGGAATCATAATGTGTTTGTGTGGCGATAGCAAAAACATAGAATGTTTTGACAGGTAGGGTAAAACTCATTTTGGTTCCTTATTTTTCCTTTCCTACAGATGGCTAATAACAGTTTTTTTGCACCTTATTACATCTAGAGTGCAGGAACAAGTTTGTGTTCACCAGTTATCTCATTCTTTTCTTTTGTTCCATTTGCAATTTTGACACACATTGTGATTACAAATTGTGAATGTACAAAGAGTGACGTGTACCTGATAGATTCCTTTCTTGTGTGTTTTTGAAATAGAAATGTAGGTTAAAATATACATATATACATACACAAGTACACAAAACTAAGTATATAATTTCCGGCTTTCTTTTTTGTATGGTAAAATAGTATCTTGGTGAGTGTTTCCACATCTGTGTAGTTCATCTTTAGTTCTCTTATGTTTACATAGTGGTCCAACTAAGGCTCTATAGGACATAACCTTGCTGGAGCCAAATCCCGGTCATTGGACGTTTAGGTATTTTCCAGTGATTCTACTACATACTGTGCTGTTTTCTGCTGTTTTCAGTACTCAAAGTATTTAGTAGCTTCCTCTATGAAATTTCATTCCTTCATAACCCATTTCTTTCCAAACATGCAAAATAACTTTTTTCAATGAATGTTTAGATTTTATTACTTTCCTCAGGCTTCTGAAAAGCTTTGTTTGGGGTCTGATTACCACTGATAAAGGGGTACTATCTACTCTCACATAGTGGCTGTGAGTTTCTACTCTTTTTCACTACGAGGTTGCCCTTAGAAAGTCTTTTTTTAGATTAAATTTTGATTTTATTCCTCTTTTTCCTTCGCCTAGCACTTAGAACAGCTGCGTGCAAATAAAGCTAATTTAAATTCAGCACAGAGATTGGTGCTGGAACAGCTGGAAAATCAGTTTGTCTTAATGCAGCAACAAGTATGTACTGCACGTCTATTTTTTCTAAAATGTATCAGCAAATTGAATGTTTTGTAAATACAGCACCATTTTAAAGGTTGTTAGTGTTTACTCCTAGTTTCTGTGTATAGTCAATAATTAATATATTCAAGCTTTTAATGCTCATAAGGAGCACATTTTCTTAAGGAAAAATAGGTATAAGTTAATTTAAAACAGTGCTTGGCATTTTATTGCTTATATACATTAAATTTTGGCTGGGTTCAGAGCACTTATTTTCATTATTTAGCAATTAACAAATTATCCTAAAATTGAGGTGCTGGTGTTATACTGGCCCATGGACTTGAGGGATTTGTCACCAGTGTAATAAAACAGAAACTTGAAATCTTGTATTCCATGGAGGGAAAAGGAATGTAAATTTCTGACCCATAATCCGTAAGTTGAAACCCTTTTCTTGACTATTAAATCAAATAGGTTTCTTTTTTATACAGGAGTCACATCTGAAAGTGAACATAGTTCCTTACGTTTTAAAGTGTATTTTTTAATGCAGAGAGATGAGATGTTATTATGTACTTTGTAATGTGTCGATTGTGTGTTTTCAAAATCACACGAGCAGGTTTTCTTTTTTTGTTTTTGAAGATGAGACAAACAGGAGTTGCTCAGGCACAGACCACTGGAATTCCTAATGGGCCAATATGTGACTCATCACTGCCTGCACATTCTTTGCCTAGCCAGCAAGCAAATACAGCTCTGACTGGAGCACCTAGCATCTCTCAGTCTGGAATTCGCCCTGCTTGTCTTGAAAAGCATTTGTCCAATGGACCTTTTTCAGCAGGCTGTGTTCCTTTCAGCACGTCAAAAACTCTAGGGAATACAGACACTATTTTGGTAGGTGATAATTATATAACGGGAAATGGAAGTAATGGAAATGTGCCTTACCTACAGCAAAACACACATACTCTACCTCATAACTGCGTAAACCTGACCAGCATCGCAGGAGAGCCATGGAGAAAACAAGTGTTGAACTCTGCTCAGGTAAAAGACTAGCTTTATGTCAGCTTTTATGACATAGTTTATACTTATTTGGTTTAGATTATTTTGAGAAAAATAAGGCATAAAAATGTAAAGAGTGGCTTTTGTGTTTGAGGACTGACTTTAAGAAACAATTATTTGAGAATTTGAAGCACTTACTTTTTTGAAGCTATTACTGCATGGTAACAGTTGGTGTGCTTAAATGTGCTGACTTAACCAATTTCAGTATAAGATATATGCGTTCTTAAATTCTGTTAGACAGTATGAAAATAAAAGAACTACAGAACCAAAGCTTTACAGTTCCCGCAAATCCAGCTGCTAATTATTAAGGCATTACAACCTCATGTTGGGTGGGTGGTGCTTTTTAAGACAGGGTCTCACTATGCAGTTCAGACTGGCTCTGAGCTCATTTTGTATTCCAGGATGATCTTGAACTTGCAATGATCATCCTGCCTCAGCCTTCCAAGTGCTGGGATTACAGGGGAACACCACCACGCCCTGGTCCATAGCCAATTTTTTAGTCTTTGATCAACTCAGATTTTGAACACTGTGATGGTGGAAAAGTGAAAGACATTCAGTAGCAAGAATATTTTGAATTTTGCTTATTCCTTGGAGTAGCAGTGTGCCGTTTACTAGTCACTTGTAAAACTGGGCAGCAGTGGTAGCTCACAGACCCTGTCATGAATCCTGAGGTTAAACCACCAGTTCTTTACAATGAACTGGGTTGATTTCTGGTGTTTTTTTTGGATACTGTTTTTCATTAAAATTTTGTATTCTGTCCTGCTTGTAGACTGTCTTATCACCTGTACTCATGCAGTCATTTGACTTTTAATTTTATGCACCCAATACATTACATAAGCTAATCAGCAATTTTTTATAAAATAGACTTTATATTAGATGATGTTGCCCCACTGTATGCTAATATAGGTGTTACGCACATAGTTTGTGAAGGTTAGGCTACGCTGAGCCACGATGCTGAGTAAGCCATGAAGCTGAGTAAGCAAAAAGGATTAAATGACATTCCAGTTCACCGTATGTTTAACTGAGGATGGGGCGGGGCAACAGGGTATAACCTCATCCTAAGGCAGGGAATATTTGTATATGGGAGTAACAACGTTTGCAGCTACCCCTGAATTTTGTTGAATTCACCAGATATTAAGCATTCATTCTTGTTGGAGAGAAAGGCTGCTAAAGTTCCAGTATCCATGAGTTACAGTAAAATGTGACCTGAACTGTAAGCAACAAATGCCTTAGGAGGGCTCAGATATTGAAGATGCAGACTACTGAAGAAACTACTGTTGAAGAAAGAGAAAGGGCAGATAAAGTGCAGGTAGAACACTTTAGTCTTTATAAGGGCTTTATAGAGCTGAATGGAAAGTAGAGCCATTAAAGTTTTGAGGTAGGAGCCCAGGGAATCAGTGCTGAAAAAGGCAGAAGCAGGAAGATTCCCAATTTGGAGTTTCTCTAGTTCAAGTCCTGCCAGGAGCTAATAAGACCCTGTCCAAGGTTAACAAATAAAAATAAGGGTCAGTGATACAGTTTGGTGGTAGAATGCTCCTGGTTTAGACCACCGGTATCAAACTTCTGGAAACTTTTTATATATTGCTGTTGATTCATGGATTGGATTTCTTTTAGAACTGAGGAAAGTTAAACAGAAAGGATAAAAATTCCCCATTCCTCCACCTCTGCGTTTCACCCTTCATTAACTTCTTGCAATATTGTACATTTTCTGGGATTAACATCAATTGTATTGGACATCAGTGGGATTGGAGTTCAGTTTATCGGGTCTTCCTTTTATGTATTGTGCTTCTGCTGTTCTACTGAAAAAGTCATTTCCAAATCCAAGATATTGAAATGTCCTCCTATTTTGTCTTCCGGGAAGTTCGTAGTCCTGCATTTAGGTATATGACCCATTTTAATGTGCTTTTTGTAGAAGATCTGTGGGTAGTAGTTTTATTTGGCTTTCGGCTTTTGGAGTGGAAGCAGTAGAGAGTTCTGTTGCTCCAGTGTTATTTGTTGAAAGGACCATCTTGTTCCACTGTATTCCATTTGTTCCTTTCTCAAAGATCATTAGCTGTAGTTATATGTGTCTGTTTCTGGACCCAGTTTGCAGAATTCAACTTTATTTAGATTACATACTTTTCCCTATGTGAAATATAGGAACTTGCATTATAAAATTGTACATCACAAAGTTTACCAAACTTTTGATTACAAGTTATATAACACACATATAAGTATATGTGTGAACATCATAGTTAATAGTAATAACAGCCTTTCATTTCTGATATTAGACATAGTCTTCCATTTTGTGTGTGTGTGTGTTTGTATGCGTGTGTGTGTGTGTGTGTGTGTGTGTGTGTATACAGCTAGATTGCTATAGCTTCCATTAATCAAGAAAAACAGCCTATGGTTTTGCTGATTCTTCTATTGATTTTCTATTTCATTTCACTTATTATGCTTCACTTTTACTACTAATTTGCTTTCTGTGGGTGAAGCTGACTTTTTTTAAGTGTGCTATGATGAACAATTATATTGGCAATTTTTTTATTCTCAAACTTTAAAAAAAAGTAGATGAAAACCTCATTTCCTTTTAGTGTGAACTAGATGCTAGAATTATAATTGGAATTATAATTATAATTATCATGGATGGGCATGTCTGGCTAATTAACAAGCACATTGCCTTCCTTAGGCATCAAATTTTATGATAAGACTAAATAGTAGGCACATTACACTTTTCCGGAGTACAGGTATACTCTGTGTCTTCCCTAAGTGAGTGAATAGATCTCCTGAAATTTATTCCTTTCATTCATTATAACCATGTGCCCCTTGACTAACATCTACCCCACTACATCTCCCTCCAATTCATCTCTGCCTCTGATAATCACACCCTACTCTTCTGTCCTAGGAGATGAAGTTCATAGAAAGCCACATATGAGTGAGAGCAGGTAGGACTTGTCATTTTGTGCCTGGCGTATTTCAGTTACAACAATGCTCTCCAGATTCTTGCAAATGCAAGAATCTTCACATGTGAAGGAAGGACAGGGACACTTCTATGCTTGGCACTTTCCAGATTATTTCCAGATTAAAGTGATGCTTTTTCCTATTTTTTTTTATGACTAGATAGTAATCTGTTGTATAGATATAACCAAGTGCTTCATCTTTTTTCATTTGTTGACTCTGAGTTCATTCCTTATCATGACTGCTGTCAGTATTGCTATAGTGAACGTGGGAACACATTTATCTCTGTAGCATCCTGATTTCTCTTTCTTTGAGTGTCTACCTCATCTTGGTCTTGTTGGATAACATAATAGATCTAGTTAGAAATGGTGTCATTCTTTTCCACAGTGGATGTACTAATTTATATTCCCTCTAATGGTCTAAAAGTGTTTCTGGGGGCTGGGAATTTAGCTCAGCGGCATAAGCGCCTGCCTTGCAAGCAGGCAGTCGTGAGTTCGATCCCTGGTACCGATAAAAAAAAAGAAAAAAAAGATAAAAGTGTTTCTGTTTCTCTGTATTCTCATCAACACTACCTTTGTCTTTCGTGATAATTACCATTTTGATTTGAGTGGGGTAGTATCTCCCTGTGTCTTAGATTGGCATCTTTCACATTGTTAAGTTATGCTGAGTATTTTCTTTTTATACCTGTTGGCCATTTATGCTCAAAGACTCACCTGTCTTTGAGAAATATCTGTTTGTTCTTTTGTTCAGTGAGGGTTTTAGTTTTGCTTTGTCTTTCTGTTGAGTTGCTTGGCTTTCTTATGTATTTAGGGGTTGAGCCCTTGGCACATGTGATTTGGAAATACTTTCTCCCGTGTTTTGGAAAAAAATATCATCCTACTGTATGAAAACTGACTACCAACAATAAAGTTAAATAAGACAAAACACAGTAGCAGACATGTCTGACATTGCACCAAGGCAATTTATTGGGCACTTCTGGACAGAAGTGTGTTTTGTGCAGTAGGAACAGCTGGTTTCTCACATGCAAAGGAAGGACAGAGGTGCTCACATGGTAAGGTAGATAAAAATAGGCCACCCCTAATCATAGTTGACAGGATCTGTCTGAGAAGTATCAACATGTTTAAACATCAGTTAACAAACACTCTAGACATGGTATCCAGCACAACATGTTCAGATCACTACCTTAACAACTTTGTCCTTGTGATAGGACTTGAGATGTATGTCAGGGTCACCTGGTGGACAAGAGGGCACTTACCAAGCTGTCTATAGTCAGGACAAGTAGAGTAACTACATTCCATATTTTTAATTCCATGGCCCTTACAGATTTGTCCCCTTGCTCCCCCACTATCCCACTTCTGAGCCAGAGAGGGCTTTTAATATTGTGTTAGCAGTGTGTGTTAGCAGAGAAAGCACTTGCCTACCTTATGGATGGATTCCACAGTAGAATTATAGCCACTTGGATGCGTAGAGACAGAGTGATTATGTCAGTAATGATAATGATTGGGCTTTCTTTCTTAGCATAAGCTCAAGGAGGCAAACCAAGAATTTAATATCTTTCCCAAAGTCAAAGAGAGTGTCAGTTTGGGTCTTCCCTTCATGTGTGACATGTAATATATGAAACTAGTGTTCTTGTTAGAAATGTAGACCCAGCATTTTTTCTTGCTAATAGAACAGGTGCTATTTTAAGATAAAAATGTGGATTTCAGAAGCGCACGCTGTAAGGGAAAACACCAATAAATAGCAAAAGATTGAAGTTTTATAAATATAAAAGAAAATCAGTGTTTCATAAGGACATATTATGGTAAATTTTCACTATCCAGCAAGCACAGTGGTGGCAGCAGAGCTGGGAGCTGGTGCAGTGGAACACATCACGTGTATGCTCCCTTCAGTGAGAAAGAGTTCATGGGGTTTTCTGTAACTAGTGGCAAAATGGCATTCCAGATCAAGAGGCTAACTACAGATCTGAGATGTAGCTCCTTATCAGGTCCTGACCTAGATCCCTGATCTCCCAAATGAGTATATGGTGGAGGCTTAAATCAAATGAG